ACTCTTTCTCCATGTAAGGGCACGCTCGGAGGTTCTGGGGCGTTCTGGGGGTCGGTCTCAGCCCACTGCGGACGTAGAGCAGGGGCAGTCTCGTCTCTGCTAAGCGCTGTGCCTTCTCCCTTGGGGAGCTGCGAGCGTGACACGCACCATGGGTGGTCTCAGCCTGCGTCTGGGTGGTGGTGTAGGGTGCAGGCTGCCCTGGGGTGCAGAGGGAGGAACCGTGGGGCATCTCTGGGTGAGGCTGTTCCCATCAGCAGGCAAGATGCTCCCTGGAACAGAACGGGCAGATGTGCTCTTCGGCTCCACACCATGGCAGCCGGGGTGCGGGCACAGCTCTGCAAGAGAGGTTGGCCGGGATTCGTCAACACCCCCACGCGGGGGTGGTCACTGTCCCATGTTCCCAGATGCCAGCCTGCATCACTGGAGCTGCTGTCCCGGAGCCCACGAAGGGTCAGATCCATGAGCAATGGTATGTGACAGGCCCCATCCTTGGGCGGCCCATCGCAGGTCCAACTGCAGTGAGGGCTCTTGCTAAGTGACTGAGTAGCTGCTCCGGCCACAACAGCAAGACACGGGCCACTACGTGAGGTGACAGCCTGCGTTATGAGGGCCGCCTTCCACTGCGTGTGTTGTATTCCTTAAGCATGCACTATAAAGTCTATTTTTAAAAATAAACCTTTGGGGACCAGCAGACGATATAATGGTTATGTTGCTGGGCTCCCAGGTGGCTGACTGCGGCTCGAGTCCTAGACCAGGAGGCTTGTAGCTCATGTGGGGTGTGTGTGCATGCGTGCGTGCCCTAAATCCCAAAGGAGGATGGAGGAGAAGGGTTTGCTGCAAGGCCATTCCCCCCGGGAATGAGTTTTCACTTTCTATCTCTCTGTCTCTCTGGAGAGTGCATGTATCCTATAGCAAAATATCTCTCAAAAATAAATACATAAAAATAAAAACTGGAATGGACTGGCCCTGTGGTCCAGTTAGTCCCAGTGCATATGGAGCTGGATCCCATGTGGCCAAGCGCAGTTCGAGCCCCGGGCCCAGCTGCTTGAGAAGCATGCTGGGTGTGAGTTCATGCACACGTGTGTGTGCATACATGTCCATGCACCCCTGCATCCTGACAGGAGGGGAGAGTGGAGGAGAAGGGACCACGGTGTGGCCACGTCCACCAGTCGTGCTCGCGCTCGCTGGCTCTCTCTTGCTTTCTCTGTGGCGAGCACACACACCCTTTGGCAATTACAAATAAGTAAAGCTTTTAAAAACTGAGCGAAGGGAGAATGCGGTGGCTGAGCATTGGCCTCCCAGACACGCGGCATGTCCGACCGCACCACGCAGGCTCAGCAAAACTTTCATTTCCCGCAGAAGACCTCCCGTGAGAACTCCGCGCCTGTACTCAGCTCAGAGCCTCCGCGGCTGGCCCAAACCCTCCTCCTCTCCGTACTGTCACTTGCTGGGCTGTCACTCCCCCCTGGTTTTACCCCCGTTAGAAAGTCATTAGCATGAGGAGGGGAGGACTGGGTGTTCCTGAGGACCTGAACCCTTGGGGCTGCCTCATTATCTTACCTGTCTTCAACCGTCTCGCCCAGGCCCGGCCTACCTGGCCACCCGCTTGGCGAGTTCTGGTTTCAACAGCACAATCGAAACGCGCCCCCTGCAGGGCGCAGGTCAGGACGCACCAAGTGACAGCAGCGGTAACCCTAACAGGGACGGGAGAGGGCAGGAGCGACTCCCGCACCCTGCCCACGGGCTCTGCAGGGAGCTCTTCATCAGGGCCCTGGACGCATCTCAACACCTCACCCACCCCAGCAGAGGGGGAGCGAGCTCTGGACAGTCCCTCGTCGGAGACGCATGCTCTAACGAGGGGATGACGCCCTTCACTCCTGTTTTGTTTAGTTTCAATTTCTGTTTTTTAAGGTTTTTGTCATAGAGTGTGTGCACGCACTGGACAGAGAGACAGAGACAGGGAGAGGGAACGTGAGATCTCACTCTCCGGGTGGGGGCTGAGGGGATGGCCACGCCACAATCCCTTCTCCTCCTGGGTCTTTGAGGTGGCAAAGAGGAGCTACCTTGTGGGTCTGGGTGGTGGTGTAGGGTGCAGGCTGCCCTGGGGTGCAGAGGGAGGAACCGTGGGGCATCTCTGGGTGAGGCTGTTCCCATCAGCAGGCAAGATGCTCCCTGGAACAGAACGGGCAGATGTGCTCTTCGGCTCCACACCATGGCAGCCGGGGTGCGGGCACAGCTCTGCAAGAGAGGTTGGCCGGGATTCGTCAACACCCCCACGCGGGGGTGGTCACTGTCCCATGTTCCCAGATGCCAGCCTGCATCACTGGAGCTGCTGTCCCGGAGCCCACGAAGGGTCAGATCCATGAGCAATGGTATGTGACAGGCCCCATCCTTGGGCGGCCCATCGCAGGTCCAACTGCAGTGAGGGCTCTTGCTAAGTGACTGAGTAGCTGCTCCGGCCACAACAGCAAGACACGGGCCACTACGTGAGGTGACAGCCTGCGTTATGAGGGCCGCCTTCCACTGCGTGTGTTGTATTCCTTAAGCATGCACTATAAAGTCTATTTTTAAAAATAAACCTTTGGGGACCAGCAGACGATATAATGGTTATGTTGCTGGGCTCCCAGGTGGCTGACTGCGGCTCGAGTCCTAGACCAGGAGGCTTGTAGCTCATGTGGGGTGTGTGTGCATGCGTGCGTGCCCTAAATCCCAAAGGAGGATGGAGGAGAAGGGTTTGCTGCAAGGCCATTCCCCCCGGGAATGAGTTTTCACTTTCTATCTCTCTGTCTCTCTGGAGAGTGCATGTATCCTATAGCAAAATATCTCTCAAAAATAAATACATAAAAATAAAAACTGGAATGGACTGGCCCTGTGGTCCAGTTAGTCCCAGTGCATATGGAGCTGGATCCCATGTGGCCAAGCGCAGTTCGAGCCCCGGGCCCAGCTGCTTGAGAAGCATGCTGGGTGTGAGTTCATGCACACGTGTGTGTGCATACATGTCCATGCACCCCTGCATCCTGACAGGAGGGGAGAGTGGAGGAGAAGGGACCACGGTGTGGCCACGTCCACCAGTCGTGCTCGCGCTCGCTGGCTCTCTCTTGCTTTCTCTGTGGCGAGCACACACACCCTTTGGCAATTACAAATAAGTAAAGCTTTTAAAAACTGAGCGAAGGGAGAATGCGGTGGCTGAGCATTGGCCTCCCAGACACGCGGCATGTCCGACCGCACCACGCAGGCTCAGCAAAACTTTCATTTCCCGCAGAAGACCTCCCGTGAGAACTCCGCGCCTGTACTCAGCTCAGAGCCTCTGCGGCTGGCCCAAACCCTCCTCCTCTCCGTACTGTCACTTGCTGGGCTGTCACTCCCCCCTGGTTTTACCCCCGTTAGAAAGTCATTAGCATGAGGAGGGGAGGACTGGGTGTTCCTGAGGACCTGAACCCTTGGGGCTGCCTCATTATCTTACCTGTCTTCAACCGTCTCGCCCAGGCCCGGCCTACCTGGCCACCCGCTTGGCGAGTTCTGGTTTCAACAGCACAATCGAAACGCGCCCCCTGCAGGGCGCAGGTCAGGACGCACCAAGTGACAGCAGCGGTAACCCTAACAGGGACGGGAGAGGGCAGGAGCGACTCCCGCACCCTGCCCACGGGCTCTGCAGGGAGCTCTTCATCAGGGCCCTGGACGCATCTCAACACCTCACCCACCCCAGCAGAGGGGGAGCGAGCTCTGGACAGTCCCTCGTCGGAGACGCATGCTCTAACGAGGGGATGACGCCCTTCACTCCTGTTTTGTTTAGTTTCAATTTCTGTTTTTTAAGGTTTTTGTCATAGAGTGTGTGCACGCACTGGACAGAGAGACAGAGACAGGGAGAGGGAACGTGAGATCTCACTCTCCGGGTGGGGGCTGAGGGGATGGCCACGCCACAATCCCTTCTCCTCCTGGGTCTTTGAGGTGGCAAAGAGGAGCTACCTTGTGGGGGGGGGCAGTAGTTGAGGACCCGGCTCCAGAGCCAGACCCCCAGGGCTGCATCTGGGCTCTGCCCTCCCTCTGCCCATAGCAGGCCCTTGGTTTCCTCATCTGGAGCTCAGAGCAGCTGCAGTTCCTCGCACCGCGGTGGTGCCGAGGTGAAACGCCTTCACGCAGGGCCTGGGTTCACATGTCCGCACTCCGGGGAGGCAGGGAGGAAGGATACTTGGAGAGAAGAGGCCAGCAGGGGCTGCATGGCTGAGCTGGCCTGGGCAGTGTCCAGATGGGCGGAATCCCTGGCACCCCTGGGAAGCCTGCAGAGCATGCCCGAGTCCATGGGCAAGGCTCTCGGGACACCCTGTCCAAGTGGGGACAGGACGGGAAAGCAGAGGAGCAAAGCGAGGACATGGCAGGGGTGCAGACCCTCGGGGCCCCGGATGGGGAACCCTGCCCCATGGTGAGCTGTGTCCTTCCCGAGGCCGGGGCTGGCATTTGCACACACACCCGCAGTAGGTCCCCAGGAGCAGAGCTGAGCAGACAGGGAGATGGTGCCACCCACCTAAGGGTACCGTCCGAGAGGGTCACACACACCTGCAGCCCCTGCAGTGCTACCAACCCAGTGAGGGGCTCCCAGGAGGCTACTGCCAGCCTCATGTATGGCACTTGTCCCCTCAACCACAGGAGCCCGCATGCACTGTGGACGAGCCACACTCCTCGGTAGTCCCCCAGACAGCCCCGCGCCCTCCCCTCGCCACTCCTCGGGTGTGGAGTATGACCAAGGCATGCCTGCTCACTCCCCTTCCTCCCTCACCCCCACAGGTCTCTGACAGGTGTGATTACATCTTCGTCAACGGGAAGGAGATGAAGGGCAAGGTGAACGTGGTGGTCAGTTTCACCTACCAGCACCTGCACAGCCCCCTGGAGGTGACGGTGTGGGCGCCCCGGCTCCCGCTGCAGATAGAGGTTTCGGACACCGAGCTCAACCAGATCAAGGGCTGGAGGGTGCCCATCCTCTCCAGCAAAAGGTAGGGTGCTTGTCCAACCCGTGACGGGAAGCCCCGTGTGCTGTGCGCAGGCTGGGGAGGGGCGTGACGGTTCGAGATGGCAGCGCCAGGCAGGATGGGCTTCGAGGACCATGATGCTGAAGGACTGAGCCTCCATGCCGCAGCTCTGAGCCACTCCATGGAGCTGGCATGAGGGGGAGCAGCTGCTCTCATGGGTCTGTGGTGGCACCGTCAAAGGGCCACTGTGGGCATGACACTGGTGACCTCTGCACCCCAGCCTGGCCCTTCCTGGCCCTCTCAGCACATCCCGCCTTCCTAGGTGGTGTGCTAGCTCTGCTGCGTACAGGTGGACAGGCCGCGCCCTGGCTAGCCCGGTCTCCGCAGCTGTCTATCCTGCATAGTTTGGTGGCCCCAGAACCAGCAGTTCAAAAGTTATCCCAGACCTCAGTGTGACTTAGAAGAGCAGCATGTACCATCTCACAGTTGTACGGGTCAGAGACCCAGGCCCGGCTTCACTGGGTCCCTTCTAGGCCGTAATCCAGTTTCCCACGGGGCTGGGCCTCACCTACAGGCTCTCCTGGGCAGCTCACTCGCGAGGCTGTGAGCAGCCCTCAGTTCCCCTCTGGCTGTCAGGGCAGGCACCTCCTGGGGATCTCCATCGAACCTCGCAACATGGCAGCTGCCTTCATCAGAATGAGCTCATGAGCCGACCCTGTGGCCTAGCGGTTAAAGGAGCTAGACTGCAGATGGCCGACTCAGTGGTTCAAATCCTGGCTCTGCAGCTTGGAACATGCCATGTGCGTACACATGCATGCCCCAAATCCCGATGGCACGGAGAGATGTAGGAGAAGGGACTTGGTGTGGCCATGCCACTGGGTGCTTCTCCCTCCCCTTCCCCTCTCTCTGAGCTCTGTAGTGAGTACACACATGCTCTGGCAAAATAAATAAAGAGGAGAGTGAGGAGGAAGGACAAAGACGCAGACCACAGTCCCTTCACACCGTCACACTGACCCCTCCCACTCCTGCTCCAGTCTCCGGAGAGGAGGCAGGCATAGGTCCAGCCCGCACACCAGGGGTGGGCCTCGCCAGGAGGAAAAGCCAGGAGATGGGATTGCGGGAACCCCTCGCCCTCGCTCTCCTCCTCAGCCCACTCTGACTGGTGGGGGCTCCTACTGGCCCAGAGAGCAACGCCCTGAACTCCGGCCATGTGTCCGCCAGGCCCTGTGCCAGGCCAGGTAGTCCTTGAAGGTGACTGTGGCCCGCTCGCCTGTCAGGCTTCATGTACCCCCAGTGGGCCCTGGGTCGGTGTCTGATAAAGTGACTCCTCACAGTCCAGCCCAGGACAGCGAGGAGGAGGAAGACGAGGAGAGGAGGAGCCGAGGGTGCACCCTCCAGTACCAGCGTGCCATGGTCCGCGTCCTGACGCAGTTCGTGGCCGAAGCCGCTGAGCCCGGGGGACCACCGGCCTACCTGCTGGGCTCGGACTGGCAGGTGGACATCACAGAGCTGATAAACGACTTCATGCAGGTGGAGGAGCCCAGGGTCGCCAAGCTGCAAGGGGGACAGATCTTGAGTGGGCAGGAGCTGGGGATGACCACCATCCAGGTAAGATCCCCGGGGGGGTGTGGCACGGTGCTCCGCCCGCCCCACGTGAATCCCGCTTTTGTTGCCGCGCAGAACGCCATCTGTTCTCAGAGCGAAGGTCCAGGAAACAACGAGGGTGGCGTGGTGACACCCAGGGTCTGGACGTTCTCCTAGTCCCTGCAGCTGTATGTCACGATTTTAGCAGGAAAGCTGGAGATCCGTGCTTTTCTGTGAAAGGTCCTGGGCCTTTTCAGTGGTAGGCATGGATGGCATTTAGTGTGCTACTCCGTCAAGCAAAGCTTGTCTGCGCCGTAGACAAGGGCTCGCCGCTGTGGCTGCTTAAGGACCTGGGAGACCCGCGTCCCGGCAGCGAGCCTAGAGCTGAGTGAGGGCGCGGGGGCGCGCCTGCTGCCTGCGTTCACCAGCCACAGGCCGGCAGTGCAGAGCTGCAGACACCAGGCCTGCAGGTGGCGTGGTGGTTAAGGCACCGGGCCTTCCACGGCTGACTCCACAGTTCCAGTCCTGGTCCCGGTGGCTTGAAAATCACTCCAGTGCACGTGTGCGTGTGCCCAGAATCCTGAGAGGAGAGTGGAGGAGAATGGGTTGTGGCATCCCCTAGAGAGGATGGTTTCCCACTGTCCCTCCCTGTCTCTCTATCTCTCTTCAGCAAGTGCACACAGCCTATGGCAAAAATCTAAAAAAAAAAAAAGCTAAAACAGATTTATTTTTAATGTTTCCACCACAAAAACGTGATCAGCTGGTGAGGTGACGGAGATGTTAATTACCCTGATGGGGGATCAGCAGTTAGCGTAATGGCTATGTCGCTGGACTCCCACGTAGTCGACCGCGGTTCACGTCCCGGACCCGTTGGCTTAAACTCACGCCGGGCGCGTGTGCTTGCGTGCCCAAGATCCCGAGAGGAGAATGGAGGAGAAGGGATTGTGGCGTGACCATCCCCCCTGGGGGGTGATTTCTCACTTTCTGTCTCTCTGTCTCTCTCTGTCTGTCTGCCAAGCACACGTGCCCTATAGCAAAAACCTCTCAAAAAAAAAAGAAAAAATTAATTACCCTGATGGAATCTTCCCGTAGTGTGCCCACAGATCCGAATCACATTGTACCCATAAATACCCGATCATTATTTGTCCATTAGGTATAAATAAAAGGTAACTCAAACCGGCATTCCATGTAAAAGCGTGACCTTGTGTAAATAAACTAAGTTGTCTTCCGTAAAAACGCCCTGAAGCATAGAGGTGCTCCGCTGTGGGAGTCCCGGAGTTAGAGCTCAGACGGGTGGCAGTGCAGTCCCCGGCAAGGACAGGTGATTCCTGTGGAAGTGAGGTCTTATCTGTGGTGCCCTGCCCACTGCCGACACCACGTGTCACACGCAACATGAATGTTCAGAAGACCTGTCTGGGCACCGCCTCACGTGTCTGCCCCGCCCCGTTCCTGTCACTGTCCCCGCCCCGCATGGGGCGTCACGGGCACTGCCAGGCACACAGCTGGGACCAGCGACAGCCTTTCTCTGTCCTGTTGGCTCTGCCCTTCAGGTCCTGTCGCCTCTGTCGGACGCCATCCTGGCTGAGAAGACCGTCACCGTGCTGGACGAGAAGGTGACCATCACAGACCTCGGGGTGCAGCTGGTGACGGGGCTGTCGCTCTCCCTGCAGCTCAGCCCAGGGAGCAACAGGGCTGTCTTCGCCACCGCGGCGGCTCAGGAGCTTCTGCAGGGGCCCAAGCAGGTGTGGGCACGGGGCTGGTGACGGGCGTTGGGGTCACAGGTCAGGGCCCCACAGGAGGGGTCACATGTCGGGTGTTTGTCAAGCTGTGAGGGGGCTCGTGAGTGACTGCTCCACCCCATGGGCCCTGCTCCCTGAAACGGAGCTGCACAGTACACGCACAGCCACACGCACACACTCACGCTGCACGATCAGTGGGAAGTGGAGTGCCCGTACCTCGCTCGTGTTAGTGTGTGGGTGTGTATGCACATCTGCACGTGTTCTGTATCATCTGCGCTTGTGTGTATGCATGTGTGTCCTGTGTATGTATCGTGTGTGTGTCAGTGGTGGGCGATGTGTGTTCTGTGTGTGTTGTGTATGTGTCAAACTAGAAGGGTGAACGGAGGGTTCTGTGTGTGTTGTGTATGTGTCAAACTAGGTGGGTGAACGGAGAGGGAGTATGCACACAGAAGGCGTGGTCTGGGCCTAGGTGTGAGGGCTGCACCCACACAGCCCGGAAGGACACGCTCGGGCTGGCCCGGCAGTGCCCCGAGGTCTCAGTCCTCAGGCCGGTATTTCAGGCAGGAACCGCAGGAGGAGAGGCGCAGGGACTGTGGCCGTCATGACAGCTCCCCCGGTTCAGGATCAAGGATGACGTCCACGGTGGACAGAGCCGTCAGCCATCCCTGGCAGCTATGTTTACAGCGGGGCCCGGGCAGTGCAGTCTGCACACAGGACGCGGGTGTGGCAGGGTTCCGGGGACAGCTCGTCGGCAGACGCACTAGCTGACTAGAGAAGGTGCCCCTCCATGGCCCGCCCCGCCTGGTGTTAGCCGGAGTCAACAGAGGCAGCACAAACGGCTCCACGTTGATTCTGACCCATTCCCCTCACGTATGTGGGAGCTGTGTGTATTTTACATGTAACTTTAGGTATGTGTATGTATGTGTTGTGTGCTGTGCATACGAATGTTGTGTGTGCTGTGTTGGTTTTATATATGTCTATGGGTTATGTGTGTGTTTATTTTGTGCATTATGTGTTGCGTGTATGTGCTATATATGGATCTGTGTTTTATATGTGTATGCGTGCATGCCATGTATATATTGTGCATGTGTATGTATTGTGTGTAATTGTGTGCGTGTATACATGTATGTGTGTGCGAGTAATGTGTATTGTGTGACGCATGAGTTGTGTGTTCTCGTGTGTGCGTGTGTGTGCCTGTATGTGCTGTATGTTCTGTTTGTGTGTTGGCATGACGGTTTCCGATCAGAGGGCTGTTATGTTACGTGTTCTCCTCTCTCACTAGAGGTGAATAAGCATTCTGTTTTTAAAGTTTATTTATTTCCTTCATACCGGGGGGCCCGTGTTGGCATGACGGTTTCCGATCAGAGGGCTGTTATGTTACGTGTTCTCCTCTCTCACTAGAGGTGAATTTTTTAAAGTTTATTTATTTCCTTCATATCAGAGGGGGGGCCCTCGGCAGAGCCTTCACGCTGCCATCCCCCCGCCAGCCAGGATTGGGCACACCCCGACCCAGACACGGCCAGGGCCTCCCTGCAGGTCCCGGCATCACCCAGCAGCCCGCTGCCCACACCACCATGGAGCTCTGAGTGACACTTGCTTGACAACCAGAGACGGTAGTCCCTCTGCCCCGTGGACGTGACCATGCCCACGTGGGATTGCCGGATACCTCTGGCCCCTGGCCCTTCTCTCAGAGCCTGGAGCCCCGCTCTGCTCCCCAGTGGCAGGAAGGTGCCCGCCAGCCGTGCGGCAGCTGAGGCTGAAAAAGCAGCTGAGGCTGGGGATGGGTAGGGGTGGAAGGAGCAGGGAGCCCGCCTGCCCGCGTGTGAAGAGCCCCATCTCCCGGCCGCACTCATTCGGTGCCCGCCCGCGTGCCCTGACACCTGCGTGCTGTGCGTGGGCGTGGGGTTAGAAAGCACTTGAAAGTGGATGCTCCCAGCTCTGGTGTGAATTCTCAGCAAAGCAAACATCCTCTTCCTCAGAGAAGGAGGCCAGCTGGGGTGCAAGTCCCAGGGAGCGAAGGAGAGGTAACCGGAGGCCCCTCTGCCCTGTGGGGTGGTGACATCGGGCAGCCCCTGGTTAGGAGTCAGGGAAGCACGAGACACAGCTAGAATAAAGCCAAAGAGCTGACCGGTCTGACGTGCCCGCGGAAACCCACGCTCTGAGGCCGTCTGGAGCTGGGTAGCGGCTCTTCCTCCCAGCTCTCAGCCGGATCCTGACGCCGCGGTGTCAGGGGACTCATTGCACACTCGGTCCCCTGCTCAGTCTCAGGGCAGATCCGATGAACCTGGTAAATGTTCGGGCCTGGCGGCTCTGGCTGTGCGGGCAAGCTTCTCCACACCTACCATGGAGGCAGCGGCTGGCCAGACCAGAGGGAGGAGCGGAGACCACCGACACATTTGAGGGGCCTCTCTTCCTCCTGCAGTCGAAACGCCACCAGTGTAAATTCTCTGTCTCGGTCAAGGACCGGGTTGCTAAAAAGATAGAGCCACCGAAGCCCTCAAGGGGCAGGGATGGACTCTGAGGGTTAGGGGATCGCAGACTCGCTGTGAGACCTTGGAGCAGGGGAGGGCCAGAGTCTCCGACACCTGCTCTTACGCTTGGTTTGGGCCTGTTTTCCCTCCCTATGAGTCAACACTGTGTCTAGACGTTTGCTTATGCACGACCCAGGGCGGCTGCCTACAGCGGGGCTCCGTTCCACGTGGAGTCCTGAGGGCCTCCTGGGCTGGCCTCCCCATCAACCTCTCTCCTGTCTGTCACGTAACGTTTGTTAGCGGGAGAGAGACAGAGGGGCTGGCCAGC